GCTGGAAACGGAGTCGCAGCATCCGGAGGACGGAGCAGATGCGGAGGGTGCGGAGGATGCTGGTTTCATAAGTTATCGATTGAAAGGGAGCCAGGGTGGGTAGGAAGAGGGTTTCAGTCGCCATGGCGACCGAACCTGCGCCCTGCGACTTGAACGTTTACCTTAATGCCCGGGAATTACGGGACGTGATTTTCACCCCGGTTTTCTCCACCCTCTTTCTCCCTTTCTCCTTCGTCGAGGACGCTTTAGGCGATAATGTAATTTTATCTGCGCCCTCTTCCACCCTCCTCCCTCTCCTCCTCCTCCTCCCCCTCCCTCTACTCGACGATCTTCCAGGGGCGACACTCTATTCTCTCCCTCCCCCCCTTTCCCCTTCCCCCTTTTTGCCTCGGCGGTTCCAACGAGACAACGTTTTCTTCGGCAAACAACGTTAGTTCATTGGCCTGAGGCGAGGAATTAATTGGATTCCCGGGAAATTAATTGCGGCAAAAGCCACCCCCGGCTGGAAATTAGAGAGAATGTGGAATTTTCGAGCCTGGAAGAGGATCGTGCATCGTTGTTGGAGAAAAAATTCTTGACTATTCTAGTGGATCGGGGGTGTGATTGGGGAAAGGGGAGAGGGTTGAAGACGATAATTTTTTCCTATCTTTCAACTCTCGTGTATGAAAATTTATTTACAAGTGATTAAATCAATTCTCGAGAAATGCTTTGGAATTAATTCTTTTTTATGGATTGTAAATTTATGTTATTTAATTGATTACAATTTTTCTAGTAACGATATTATAAAATTATAATATATATATATATATATATATACGCGACCAACTTAAGACAAACGTTTTTTTCTCTCTTCCTCTAATATTTCATACTTGTTTAATATGGATCTCAACCTCACGATTGTATTTATATCGGCTTATGATGAGGAAATAAAAAATTCAGATGGATAAAGGAGAGAGATACGAAGCAAAGTTGTTTATAAAAAAATCAACGAGGATGAAATTTTCTTAAAAAAAGAAGAGAAAATCTGATCCAGGATCGCGTTTCAGCTCCTTGGCTACGCGAGCCACCCCCTCGGGGGCTGTGCCAACACAAGACCGCATTAGCTAACTGCGCCCTGATTCGTCGTCGGATCGATCCCAAAAACGAGGAAACTTAACTCGAATTACGTCACCGGGAGGACACTTAATTCTGGTTAAAACGGTGTCGATTTTACGGCGAGAGAGATCAGAGATGTGTTGAGTTAACGATCGAAGAAAAACGGACGTCGAAAGAGGCATTATCCTCGAAAATTTATTTTTATTTTCAACCCAGAAAATAATTAATTATAAATTAATTATAATAATTAAAATTATGAGAAAAGTATCGAAATAATTATTTATTAAAATGTATGAAAATTTTGGTAATTTGAAATTCTAACATTTTGTATTTTATATTTTATAAGAAAAAAAAAGAGGAAAATTTAGTATTAATTATGCAAAAAAAAAAAAAAAGTTTACGTGTGAACTCGTCATTAACACGAGTGAAAAGGAGAAAGAAAAATGAGAAATAGTTAACTTACCCTATATCAAATTACTATCTACATATATAGAATCAAGAAAATCACCCCAATCTTCGTTTAAATTTAAAAGCAAAACAATGCAGAAAGACTTACTTATTTTCAACCCTCGAACGAGCAACATTAAATTACCGTCTACCATTAACGAAATCACCCCTATTAAACAAGAAGGTTCGAAGAAATTTATCTTATCTTCTTTCCATAATTATCCCCTTCCCACAATTATCGATAAAATTTCCTTGACAAAAATTTCCCTGAGACCGATTTTACCATCCATCCCCTTAATCAAGCTATTTTATTAAATCACCATCATGCATAGAATTAAACTTTAAATCACCCTCATCAACCCCCTCCCCTTCTGAGTCACGAGCAAATTATCAAGGAATTAGTCGCAAATTACGTTTCGCCAATTTCGCGGAGAAAAGAGCAGTTCTCGGGGCGAGGAGAGCCTTAAATTACTACTATTTGTATTCTCCGGAGGAATCCACCCCCGCAGGAAAGGCGGAGTCTCGATTCCTCGAGAGGGATCGTGATACCGTTACCATGGAGTTATGTAAATCGTCGGATTACTCGTCCCTGCAAATTGGAAATAGGGGTTGGAAAGGGGTGGTCTCGACACAGTCTCTTCCAGAAAAGAGAAATTCTTGCCGAATTTCATTGAATGTGATAAACAAATTTGTATGTATAATTTGGAAAATGAAAAACGTACGTTCTTCTTTATGATATTTCTAAAAAAATTTTTACAAAATATTGCATTATCGTACGTGAAATTGGAAATTTATCTCGACGAAACTTTAATCGAGTAATGAGCATGCAAAAATGGAAATAAATTAAAGAAGAGAAAATTAATTCTTCGATATTGTTGAAAAATTTTAGAAAGTGTTTTTTGCAAAATGCAAAAAAAAAGGTTTCTGAGATAAATAAAATTCGGAAATAATCGTGTTCAGAGACGACTGCTCAACATCCATCACTGAGAAGGATGGATCAGACGTTGGTGTAAAGTGGCTATCATCCCTGTTGCCGTAACGAGGATCGTGAAACAGGCGCAGAATCGTCCCACGGGCCGTGTTACACGCATTAACTAAACGGCAACTCTGATTGGCTCCTTTCTACGAGCATCAACCCCCTCAGAGGTCAAACTGTTGGACTGGAAAATCTTATCTCCAAAGTGGGTGGAAGAGGATGAGCTTTCACTGAGTTAGATGCGTCTCATTTAATAGACGAAATATTTCTAATTAATTTATGCATTTACAGAAAAGGAAAATTGGAACGAAGATAAATTTTTTTTTGTTGTCTTTCTTTTTATTTTTTAAAAAATTTGAGAAGAAAATTTTAAGATTGTAGAGTTAATAATACTTCAAAAGATGGGATATCTTCGTGCATATGTATTGTATTTTCATGTATTTTTCCACAAATTGAATTTCAAATTAAAAAAAAAATTCCAAAATAAGCGTTAAAATATCAACGGATCTTTATTCCTTTATTCGATCCAATTCAATTCGAATCAGACAACAACGCGAAGATTGTCCATTTTAAACTTTTACCAAGATCGATTAAAGATGCATCGATTGTTCTCATGCGTCTAAATCGCAGATATCAATAGGTTAGCTGATTGAATTTAATCGTAAAGAAAAAATGTCTTTGGCAGTGCCACGTAAATCAGTGTTGCAGCAATGGTTCTATGAACCTGAAAAGGAACCCGTAACCTTTGACGACATATTAATGTATCTGGGCAAGTATAAGAAAATAATTCGACCTCATTTTACATTTAATTTTCTTACAAGTTTTTACTAATTTTAAGGAGAATCGAGAAATTTGTTGAAAAAAATTAGAATCGGATATTTCCTTTCGAAATTTTAATAACTTTTCAATTTATTTAATTATCCTCCCCTCGTATTTTTGTAAATAATTAATATAATCTCGTGCATTAAAATTCGCCATTTCGGAATTGTAAATAGATTAAAATAAAGAAAATAGTAATATCATAAGATAATATTAACCAATTTTTAATTGTTAATAATAAAGAAAGGAATTATTGTATATATATTGGGTGGCGCTAGTGTCTGTGGTTAATCTTCTCTGCCATTTTCTTTACTTTCAATACTCTTGATGTTGACTTTAAAATATATTAAATATATTTAAACTAGGCGAATTCGGCTTGTACCAAAGATTCCTTTTCGTCATGCTCATGGTGTTCTGCTTCTTCCTCACCTTCGTCTATTTCACACAATTGTTCCTCATCGTCGTTCCGGACGAGTTTTGGTGCGAGATACCAACAGTAGAGGGCTTCACCTCCGAGGAATTAAGGGACTATATGATACCAACCTCGAATTTGGTACCTTACGAGGGACACGATTTACCTTATTCTCGATGCTGGATATACGATATACCCGTGAAAATAGCGATAGAGGCAAAAGAGCCCGATCCAAAATGGCCGATGAAGAAATGCCACGAATGGTACTTCAAAACGAGCCCATTCGACGTGCCTTACATTTCTGTCGCCTCCGAATTTGGATGGGTAACCCTCTCTCTCTCTCTCTCTTTCTGTTAATAAATTTCCCTCAAGTTGAAGTAATAACAATAATGAATACATCGATGTAAACTTCAATTTTCCAGGTTTGCGACGACGCGTACAAAGTGTCGCTTGCGCAGAGTATATTTTTCGGCGGTTCCATCCTTGGAGGTTTGATATTCGGCTGGCTTGGCGACAAATACGGAAGGATTCCTGCCGTTGTTGTGTCCAATCTGTTGGGATTCATCGGCGGCCTCGCCACCATATACATCCACACGTTCTGGCAATTCTGCGTGTGCAGGTTCATCGTCGGCGTGTCCTTCGACAGCACCTTCGTGTTCGCTTACATATTAGTCCTGGAATACGTGGGCCCTGGTTGGCGCACGTTCGTCGCCCACGTCTCTTTCGGCTTGTTTTACACGTTCGGCGCGATATGCATGCCGTGGATGGCCTATTTCATAGCTAATTGGAGAACGTTCGCTCTAGTGACGACCATACCCCTCGTCTTCGTCCTGATAGCCCCATTATTCATTCCTGAGAGCGTCAGGTAATATATATATATAATCGTCCAGACGAGTGAACGAGTGTTTGTAACCGGATTTAAAATTTTGAAAATTTCTTTTGCAGGTGGTTGATCGGAATGAAGAAAATGCGAAGGGCGTTGAAAATTATTTCGTTGATCGAGAAAATAAATCGCAACAAGATACCCGAAAGCGTGTTCGAGGAATTCAAGGAGGAGTGCGAGAAAGCTGTGATCATCTTGGCCGAGGACGAGATGTACACGTTGATCGATCTATTTAAGACGAGGCGTTTGAGGTAACGACAAAAACGTGCATAAATAAATATATAACTACGAATGAAAAACTATTTTTATTTCCTTCTTCGTTTTATTAGAAGAACCACTATTCTGCTGACAACAGTGTGGGGCATAATCCAAATGTGTTACGACGGGCATATAAGGTGCCTGGACGCCCTCGGTTTGGACGTGTTCAGCACGTTCACGATCGCCTCCATCACCGAATTCCCGGCTGAGATGTTGGTCGTTTCCACCCTGGACACGTTCGGCCGAAGGTGGACGTTGTTCACGGCCGTCACCGTCTCTGCCCTGTTCAGCACGTTCGCCGCCCTTGTGCCCACGGTTGGCATAGCTTTCGCCTCGTTCGCCATCTGCAGCCGCCTGTTCATCAACGTTGCGTCCGACATCGCGCTTCAATACGCGGCCGAACTCCTGCCAACCGTTGTCCGGGGCGAGGGAGTGGCGTTTATACACGTGATGGGATACGTCACCTCGATATTCAGCCCCTACATCGCCTTCTCCGCCAGGATAACGTACAACATGCCCATGATCATACTCGCCATATCGTGCTACTTCGGCGGGGCGATGTGCCTGTTCCTACCGGAGACCTTGATGGAACAATTGCCCCAATCGTTGGTGGTAAAGATATATTAACTATGATAATCTAAGCTAT